AATTTTCTAATTTATTTTCATTGAGAGTTCTTCATCAGAAAATTTTGTGAGGCACATTGAAGTTTGGAATTTAGATATATTCATCCTTTTAGCTTTATCTTGGGCCTCAGCCTGAGTCTGGAGTCCAGGACTCATTCGGGTGGGGCCCAGGATAAAGCTAAACTAGGGAGAAGTACTAGAGGTGAAGGTCCAGTGATTGGGGCCGTTCCCAGGGAGTCTTTAAAAATTCCAAAAATATGGTAAAATAATATTTCTATTAGTTTTAATGAAAAGTAAAACTTTGATTAACTGGGTCCTTCAAATAAACTAGAATTTTATATGCACCAGACTTTTGGGTGAAAGGCAAATCACAGAACACACACACACACAAATATGATCATCCTTTTAGAATTAAGTATGATACATTTCAGGAGCTATACCCCAGGAGCCCAAGCGCCTGCTCTCCTACAGCCCTTTTCAAGTTTCAGGGCTGTAGTCTGGCCATGAACTAGAACCCCTGCCTCATATCGGTGGTCAGGTCTCTTCTTCCTACTGGCCCATAGTTCTTTAAGGTTAAGGGACTATATTTCATTCCACTGTGTATTCCACACAGCCTCTGACACAGACCTCTGCACATTTCAAATACTTAAATATTTGGCAATGGATTAGAAAATGCTATGCATCTTCATTAGTGTCAGTGGTATAGTTAGATTTTAAATCATGCTTTCTTGTTCAGTGCTTTGGTGTCAGATGGATTTGGGTTTAAATTTCTGTTCTACCAATCACTAGTGGTATGAACTTGGCAAATTACTTAACTCTCAAGCTAATTTGCAGGGTTGTCGTAAGAATCTGTGATTAAATATTTAAAGTGTCTAGGAGCTGCTGTTATTGCCATTATTATTTTGTCTTAAAAACAGAAGTTTCCTGGCTTATAGTTTATTATTCCACAGTTGTGAGCTTTTGTGTTTTTTGTAATCGCATTTCCATTTAGAGGGTTGAGCTCCCATTATTTAAGTCTGGCTTCAGTGAGGGGTTGCTGTTTGACCCACATCTTGAATGATGAGTAGGTCCTTAAAAGGCAGAAATGGATGGAAAAGGCATTCCCAACAGAGGGAACAGCATGTGCAAAGACCCAGAGGCATGAGGAAGAGTGACATATGAGGGCAGTTGACCGTGGTTCAAGGTGGGTGTACATGATGGGCTCTGGACAAACCCTTCTGTGGCTGAACGTGTGAGCAGGAACCAGATCTGAAGGCACAGTATGAGATGCAAGATCTGGGTTCTCAGTAATGGAGTCAGTTCTTATTTTCTTCATTAACTTTTTAACGCGTCTCTGAATAAAAGTTTTGTTTTTTTGAGACAGTGTCTCTCTCTGTCATCCCAGCTAGAGTGCAGTGGCGTCATCATAGCTCACTACATCCTCAAACTCCTAGACTCAAATGATCCTCCTGCCTCAGCCTCCTGAGTAGCTGGGACTATAGGTACATGCCACCGTTTCCAGCTAATTTTTCTGTTCATTGTAGATACAGGGTCTCACTCTTGCTCAGGCTGGTCTCAAACTCCTGGCCTTAAAATGGTCCTCCTGCCTCAGCCTCCCAGAGTGCTAGGATTATAGGCGTGAACTACCGCGCCCAGCCCAAAATATTTCTTTTTTAAATATTAGGTTCATGAACTTTGAGCGAGGTGTAGGGGATGGAAACAGACCATTTGCCCAACATGTAATGTCTTACTATCCTTGGAGAGACATCTTACTTAATTCACATTTGGCCTTGGGGATGTGGCTGGTGCACGGTCTCACCTGGCCTCTCCTCTGCACTCCTCGTCAGGTTGACAGTTAGACGTATTGAAACGTATTAAATGCTGGTTTCTCCCAAGTTTTTTTGTAACTTCTTTTTTGCCTCAGGGTTTCCTCAGCAGATTGAATGTATAATATCTTTGGACATCAGCCGCAGCAAATTAATGCTAATCACTGTTTGTGTGCTCTTCCTTGCTGTGCTAATGCGACATACACCCAGCCAGATGTTTTTGAACAGTGTTGAAATGTGTGAGCAGGGTTCAGCAAATACGACGACAAGTGTCACTTGTTCTGTTTTCAGTATTGTTTTCCGCCTCATAGACAAGCTGAGATCTTGGGCAATGCGGGGAAGGCACCTTCTGTTTCTGCTTTTACGTGTGCATTCCAGAGCATGTCAGCATCAGGTGGGACAGGAGTTTCTGCCCATTGTACTGGCTGTACCTGCGCCGGGGCTGCCAGGCTGTGCCTTCTCCCTGCTGTGTCCTCAGCTCCTTTTCTGTGCCAGGCTCTCTCATGCTGTTCCTCTTGCTTCCCTTCAAAGTGCCTTTTCCGTCATTTTCCATCATGTGTGCTCAGCCGTTCCACCATTGTTCTTCCTGTCTGGTTCTCTTAAATCCAGCCCACACCTTTTCAACTCCGTGTCCTGAGTCAAGTGTTTGAAAGCTGTTATTTTATGTTAATTAGAAGTTCTTTTTCCAGCCAAGAAGCCTTGCACAGAACTGTTCCCCCAAGCCAAGGCTTAGAGACGCACTCTGGCACTCTCTCCTCTGGGTGCAGTTAAAGGAACCGTGGCTAATTGCTGTTAGCGCCACCCCACTGCCTGCTGTGCAGGGAAACCATCCCACCACCTCCATGGCCCTTCCTGGGGCGGGCAGGCTCTGAGGGGAGTTCTCGGTGTGCCCCCTAGAGAGCTTTAGTGCACACAGCAGCTGCATGGCACCCGAGACTCCCCACGATTCTAGGGTCTCCCCCAGCCAAGATTGCCTGGCAACCACCCCTCATCCAGGAGAGTTTCTGGGCCTCCAAATAGGTCTCCACCAGGTGCTGACAGGTGACCATTTGTAACACATCACCTGGTTGACCCAAGTTGGGTGGGAGATGCTGGTGGAAAACTACTCCCACCACATTCTGGACTCGGGACGACTTCAGCAGGAGTCAGCTTCTGGTTTCTTTAAAAACCCCCTGAGACACCCTGAGTGGCGTCATCCCGTGTAGGCAGACCTGGTCAGGCTGCAAGGGAATTTCCACATCTTGAGATGTTTTTGAGCAGAAGCCAAGCCCTCTGGTCACATCTGGTCTCACCCTTTATGCCCACCTCCTTGTAGTTCAGGGACTGCATCCCTCCCATTACCTGGCCTATCGCCCCATCATCCCAGCCTTCTACAAGCCCAGGCTGGGGGAGGCTGCAGCCTGACTCCAGGGGGGACACCAGCACCCCCTTGGTCTTCCTTTGTTCCATTTGGAGGGAGTGCTTGGTGCTAACCCATTCTTGAGCTTGAGCAGCGACAGGTTAGGACCACTCTTGTTCCATCTCTCACAGAGGAAGAAGAGACTTTGCTCCTCTGGGGTACCTTCGAGTGAGGACATTACATCATGCATGGTTGAGGAATTCTCCTGTGTGTCTAACTTAAATCACTGGAAACACATTTCTTTATCTTCATGGTTTATAGAAGGAGTAGTCAGTAAGCAAATGCTGATTAAGGCCCAGTGAGCTCAGAGCACAATTCTAGGCACTGTGGAGGTGAGGCCAGAGTGAGAGAGAGAGAGGTCAGGGTTCTTATACTCAAGAAGAAAATCACATCCAGAAAACAACCAAAGGGCCCTCTTACAAAGCCTCAGTTTCCTTACTATTGAAGAGTAATGGACACTACCTGCCAACACGGCTTATCACAGAGACGACACGAGAGTGTGTAAAGTGCCAAACACGGGCTTGGCACATGGGAGACCCTTAGTAAACAGGAGCTCCTTCCTCTCGTTTCCTTCTTTTTATTATTATTAACAATAAACACCAGCTAGTGCGGTGTATGTTGTGTAGAGAAGATAAAGGTATAAAAGTGGTACCGATGGAAGACTTATTTGATGAGATGGGGTCGTACCTGGATTTGGGAAGAATTAAAGAGATGTGGACTAGCAGAGATTACGGTTGAGGACAGGGCATATATAGTCACAGAGCTGTGAAAGAAACATAGCATGTGGCCAGTGAGTCATATCGAGAGGAGTAAGAAGTCCAGTGGGATGCCTGGCACAGGATGGAATGGTGACATAGGAGTGGCCAGTCGGTGGAGCGCCTCAAAGGACCACACACGGAATTGTGACTTATTATTACAGACAGTGAAGAACCATTTTAGTTTCTTGAGCTGGGAATGAAAATGATTTTTGGAGGTCTTTATAATAAGGTTTCTGGGGGCTGGGCAAGTCAGAGGACAGCAAGACCATCAGGAAGGAATTGGGGCTTATGCAGGGACTTTCACTAGGGCAGTGGTGACAAGACCAGGCACCAAGAAAGCTGATGCCTGCAGAGAGACATGAGTAGAATTGGGGAATGGCACAACCCTGGTGGGGGGGCAAGAAAGGTAGAAGGTTCTAAGCTTGGCACTCTGGGTGGAGGGTGAAACAGCTGGTGGTAACGGATCTAGGGGAGAGACACCTTGGCGATTGTGGGGTGAGCTGTGAAGCCCTGGCCTCTAAACAGCAGAGCTGGGGAAGATCTAGGAGCGGAGGTCCTGAGCCGGAGGCCCCTTTCCTTATGGGCCTCTAGTTTAGGCTTTTTGAAACTTACAAGATGATGACTATCATTGTGGAGGGTTCTCTGTAGATATTTATATCAACTGAGTCATATCTCCTGTGTAATTTTGTAAATAAAGATTCACTTTTAGTCAGTTTTTGAGGTTTCACAAATAAATTGGTTTAGTTCTAAAAAGCATGCTTTTAATAAAATCCCTGTGTTCTGAATAAAACTGGCCACTCTCATGCTTTTAACCTGACCACAGATAGTCATGTTGTACTTGCATTTGCCGCAGTGGTGAGACTTATGCAAAGCCACATATTGAGCTAGGAGTTTTGCAGTCCTTGGCCCTGCTGCCATTGCTTCCCTTGGACCACGCATGTGGACATCCCCTTTCTAAAATGTATAGTCGCTTCCAGGTCTGAGCCACCACTTTGTCTTGTTGGGATGGGGACCCTGGCTTGAGCTGTGTTGTTTCCTCCCTTTGTCTCCCCACCGTAGACTGCTGTTTTCCAAAGTGAAGTTGGAGTCACTCTGCCGGGGCCCAGACGAGGCGCTCCTCACTTGTAAGCACATGCTGCAAATATGGAAATCCTGCTACAACCTGACCAATCCCAGGTAAGAGGCCAGCAGTGCCTGTTTTGTGTGGTTTTTGCGTGAGTCTTTGCCTGTCGGTGCCATCTCTGATTGGCATTTAGCAGGCATTAACTCTGTCACCCCTGTGTACCTCCAGGTCCCCACAAGTAGCAGACCATAGTGGTGGAGCTTCACACTCCATTTTTAAGGGGCTTTCCTTCGAGCAGCTGATGGAGCCTCCAAATCATGGGTTTCTTTTGCTGTTGTTGCCACGGTGACCCACTAGGCTCAATTCACAATTGATCTTTATCTGATTTCTCTCTACTCGCCATTTTCTGAACTCCTTTGACAAGTCTTAACATCTTTCTGGTAATTTATGTGCAGACTAGTCAATTTTGTATTCCAGATGGGGTTCTTGCAGTAATATCTAAAAGACCCACATAGACAACAGGCCACATCCTACTAAGGAAAGGAGAATCACAGTTGGCATAATAAAGTATAATTTTCCAGAAGTTAAAATCATGACTCATACAAATATAAAATAAACACATGTCAAAGATATTATTTACCTCATTAACTAATGAAGGAACCAGTAAAATGTTAAGACCAGTTGAAAGAAGAATTTGAAAAACAGATATGTATAAGCAGGAATGCTGAAATGAATTTGCAAATAGCTGAAAAAGGAACATCCTATGAGGCAATGAAATGTATTGTTTGGGGTTATCTTTTCTACAGGGTGGAAATCAATTATATCTCTACTAGACATAATTCATTTGCTTTGCTATCAGTTTCCTACAGGTTAACTTCTGCCCCTGCAGAGCTGTAAATTAGCCTGCTGCTCAGTAGGAAGCCAGTCAAGGTGCCCGTCCCTGTAGAGTCAGATCTTCTGGGAAAGTCAACCCCCAGCATTCCACTGACACACCCAATAACCTATTTGCCTGTTTCCAAGTCTTGCACAATTTTTCCTGTTTAGATTACTAAGCGAAGTCGGTAATTTAATGAAAAGAGATCTAACGATTCACGTGAATTCACACAACTGCTCATACACTCAGAGTATCTTTCAAGTCCGTAGCAAGGTGTACAGGCAGCCCATGTTATGCTCTTAAGAGTCAGGAGCCTAAAATTGTGTAACTCAATCATAAACGAGTACTAAGTGTGAGGCAGGTACAGGGCTGGTGGCCGTGGTCTGCAGAAACCAGCAGGGAGGGAAGGTGGGACGGGCATTGTGGAGGCAGCAGGACAGAAATGGGGTTCCATGTGAGATTTTGTTTTGCAAAAGTTTCTGTAGTTAATAAAAAGTGTTCGAAGGCAGGTGGTCCCTGTTAAGGGGATGGGCCTCCTGTGAACTGACAGGCAGACCTGTGACCCCAGGCCCTGTGGGGAGTGCAGCTAGAAGCAGGAGAGGTCACCTGGAAAGCCGCCTGCTGTCCCACCCGTCCCCTGCCCCGCCCTGAAGGCAGCCATAGGCCCCCTGAGTGGCAAGATGTAAGGAGAGGCCCCTTCCTAACCACTGCCTATGGCATGGCGCTGTGCTGCCGAGAGCGCCCGCCTTTCTCTTGATGAAAGGCAATCATGAAACCAGCCTCTTCCCTTTTGTGGTTATGTTCTGAAAATAAAGATCATTCTAACTTTTTAAAAAATTCTACTTTTCTAAATTTGTAAGCAAAAGTAGAAAATGTCCATATTTATATCCCCCAAAAGCCCCGACTCCTGGCCTATGAGAAGCTTGGGGATTTGAGGGAGACTTTTCCCCACGACCCGGCGAGCAGGAGGTGCTGCCCGAGCGGCTGCTCCAGTACCGGAGCACACTCCTGTGCCTCTACCCCCTTTAGAAACGAAAGGATAAATCCATCAGCCTGCATGTTGCCAATTTTCTCTCAGCTCTCCACACCTCTCCCACCTCCCCACATTTCCTCCCACTTAGCAACCAAGAATATTGAATGTGAGGGGAAAAAAATAGCAGAATTGGAAAGCTTTTTAAAAATACTTAACCAAATGCCTGGGCTGTGTCCATACTTCCTCCGTTTCCTGAAGGATCTTTCAGGGCTGAGCAGGGAGGAACCCTGGCTCCAGGCAGAGTCTGGGTCGGGGTGGGGGTGGGGATGGGTGGACAAGGCCCCATGGGTCGCTGAAAACTGCTCCCTCCACTACCCCTGAAACCTTGAGAGAGGGGTGGTGAATTGAGCAGCCCCTCATTAAGGAGTTTCCTGTTGGGCTTTTTTTTAACTTTATTTTCTCTGGGATATAAATAAATGTTTCTCCTGCAGCCCTTACCATTGTGCAAATTTAGACATCCTCCCCAGTCTGCTCGGGTAAGAAGTGACCCTGGCAACAGAATCATGCACAAAGAAGGAAGGGCTGTGTCTTGCCGAGGGACAGCTCATCTCACAACTCTCTAGATCGGAGCCACTGTGGCTCCAGCAGCCTGGAGTCTGCGATCAGGGCATAGGAGGTTTTAGAAGAGGGTAGAGTCATATGAACAAGTGCATGGGAAGCATCCTTTCCTAAAAATAATGTAAAATAAAAACTGAGCAAAGAGCATTTTGGCAGGAAGCAGTTGGTTTCTACCTGTGGTAGGGCTGTGCTGACTTCCTGGCTCAGGGCACCCTTATTTGTGAGCAAGCTCAGTGTGGTGGGCCCTCGCTCCACCTGCCAGTTCCCCAGTCTTCCCCACCCCCTTCCAGACCCACCCGGAGGAAGGCAGAGGAAGACGTGGGCAGTAACAGGGAGTGAGTGGCCAAACTGAGAATAGACCCTAGCTTCATGTTCCCAGCGACTCATTCCCTCTTTTTTATTTTTGCTTAAAGGAAAAATCACACCATGAGCTAGTCACTCTACTGAGCATTAGAAAACTTGCAAATAGTGTTCCACCTGCAGGTGGAGAATGCATCTCTCGCTGTGAGCGGAGTGGTGGGTGGCGTTCTCTCCAGTGCACATTTGGCGACGTCTTCGTCATTTTAGAAGCCTGGATTATATTTCTCTCAGTCTGCAGTTTTGCTGCATGTAGGTTAGAAATCTGTCTCATGTTTTATCTTCTCTGTCTTCATGAAGTATAAAGCTCCCTCAGTTCTTGTGCATATTGACTTGGCCACTGACAACAGTGTGAATTCTGACCCAAATCTTACCAGAAGGTCCCAGCAGGCTCCCTGAGCTGAATCTCACAGCATTTCAGCCAGGGATGGTGGTGACCACATTTATTGAAACTCCTCTGTGCCAGCACTGTACGAGGTTAGGCCACGATGTGTTATCTTTAATCCCTGCCTACCCTTGCAAGATAGCTACTATTACTTCCATTTTATAGAAAATAAAATTGAAACTAAAGGAGGCTAAATAACTTGCCTAAGTTTTCCAATTAAATAGGTAGCAGAGCTGTGATTCAAACCCAGGTCTGTCTAACATCAAAGCTCTCTCCATGACAGCATGCTGCCTCTCTTGAGTTGACAAACAGTTTCCTTTCTTTTTCTTTTTTTTATTGTTAACCACTTCTTTCCCTCCTCCTATCACTGCCACTTGAGCCATCTCCATCGTGTAGCCCTGAGTTGACATCTCCAAGTGATTTGAAGAAGTCCTGTTTCCATAATTACCAACATATAGTATTTAAAGTTAACACACACACACACACACACACACACACACACACACACACAATTTTCTTTGCTCTAACCTCAGTGGGAAGTTGGGGATCCCATTTCATACTAACAGTTGCCAGCATTTTGGTGGAGCTTTTCTTTTTAGAGAATGCTCTTATTTCATCTTCAAGCAGCTCCATAAAATGGGCAAAGGCTGTGTGATATCATACTCATTTTACTGATGAGAATTGAGGCTCAGGAATATTGGGAATTTGCTTTGATTCTTACAATCCAGGCCTAAGAGGCCTGGAGAAAACCAGGACTTCCTCTCCCACCTGCCCCTTCTCTGGTTTCCTATCCAAGCCCTACTCTTGGATCCAATATTTATTGTGTGCCAGGCATTATTCCAGGAGCTGGGAAAAGAACTTCAGGGTTCTGACTTCTAGTCCACACCACAACCACCTCTTGTGTTTAACTCTGTGTAGCTGTGGAAGATAGAGGATTTCCCAGAGAAGCTTCCAATTTCCAGTATAACTTTAACTGTCAGTATAGTTTACTCTGAATTTTCAGTCCTAATGGGGAACAGAAATTCCCTGGGTGTGTGTATCTACCCATGTGGACATCTCCAGCTTATATACTATGGATTTTGGGTTCCTTCCAATTTCCTCTCCCTCTGCTAACACCACTGACCAGGAATGGTTTTCTCTCCCTTCCTGCCATCCTCCTTTGGAGGTGCCCCTGGCAGCCCATGGGCCAGGCAGAGAGGACGGGAGGCTGTGAGAAGGGAATGGTGGTCCATAGGACATGCTCAAGCAGACAGTGTCCCAGAGGGAGAGAGGAAGGTGGCTTTCCAGCTTGCGTGAGATAGACTGACCAGAGCGAGAAGTTAAGGAGAGTCAAGTTTGGTCAAAGCCTCCCCTTGCCCCTTCTCCTACATTCTCTGGGTCATAGCAAAGGCAAATCTCAATTGGTTAAGACTCTGCACTACGTAAATGAAGAACTAGAAATTGCTTAAAGCATCCAGTGAAATCTCAGTCAGTCATTGAATACCTAATTATTTTTATATAGAAAATATTCAGTATGGAAACAAAAGCTTCTCCATTTTGAATGGTCATTGTTGCTTATACACTATTTTCAAAAGGAACTATGGAAGACAAACTAAGGAATGTAACTGAGTGTAGGTTCTCAGCTGGTGGAGGGGAAATGGATGCCTTGCTGTTATCTGTGGTGAGGTTCACAAATTAAGATTATATTTTTAGTTGGGGTTTCTAACATTTAGAGTAGGAGATCCTTAACTCAGCTTCCCTCTGCCTCCCACAGTTGCACCAGAAGTCTAGGGATGAACTGTCTTCAGGAACTGGCTGGCCATATTAACCCCAGATGCATGTTTGTAGGTATATGCATTTATAGACACCTGGCATGTGCTTAGAAGTGATCGCTCTTCAGAATGCTCCGTCCACAAGGCCTCATTTCATCTACACAATTCTATATAGGAAGACCACCCTTGTCTTCCTCTGGCCGGGAACTCCCCGAGGCACAGGAAAAGAGGCCTTGCCCAAAGTGACCTACTCATTAGTGACAGATGTAGGATGAGAACCGAGACCCCCCCAGCTGGGTTCCAGGGCCCCAGTTTCTGGGTCCTTCCCAAAGCATTACACATGGCAGCCAACCTGTGCTCTGCAATTGGCCAGATGGGAAGCCTAGAGGATAATGGCTGAAACAAACCTCAGATTTGGTCCATAAAAACCCAGTCATATCCTTCCTTTGCAATGCCAGCACCTCATCATGCATCCTGGAACCCCCAAGGTGATAAAAAATATGTCATCAGCTCACCACATTTGAGACAAAGTCTTCTGAAAAACTTGTAAGTGGAGAGCCATTGCAGTGTTCAGATAATTAACCCCTTTTAATATTTAGGTTAAAAATACTACGGGTACAGACCAACGCTAGAAGTATTCAGTCAGTATCATGATTAATGAAAAGTTGCATGTACTTTTATGTTGTATTCTGCTCAGGGACATTTATTGTTTCTGAGTCATGGAAATAATCAAAAGAACAGTTTCCAAAAAACATGTATAGGATGATGTAATAAGTATAGGCTGACAAATAGTCTGTCTTGAAGGAAATTTCCTTCTGTTTCCTGCGGATTTCTTTAACTACATCACTGGATGTGGAAATTGCAGCCTGTAAATGGTATTAAGTTTCATACCAAATCTTGTTTGTACTGCTTTTAGCAACAGCTGCATAGAGGAAGGAAATTGTGTCCCTTTATTGTAGAATTTGAACTTCTTAACAACAACAACAAAATCACTCTTAGAGGCCCCAGATTGGGGGAAAAAAAAAAATAGATTCAAAGAAAAGCATTGAAGTTTCATTCAAATGTCAGGACACAGATAGGATTCTTTGTGGAGGTGCTTTGATAGGATGTCATGACAGAGGGGAAAAAGCAATAGTGTTTACTTACAAGCATCTTAGAATTTAAAGAAAAACCAAAAACCTATAAGATCCCTTAACTGTGTCATTCCCGGTTAAGCCTGCTGTGCTCCCCCACGTGACACTGCCAAACGAATGGTGCCAGCCTGATTTGTAGGCGTGAGCTGGAGAGGGGGGTTTGGTAAAGAGACTGGCAGTGCAGGAAGCTGATAGGAGTAGCGGGCTGGAGCCGGCCACCCAGACCCTGCTGTGTTCTCTCCCAGTCCCTTCCCGTCCCCGTCAGCCTGCAGCTCCAGCTCTGCTGGGATCACCTCACACCTCCTTATTCCCATCTATTAAAGAAGAATGTTAACCATGCAGTTTAGCCCAAAGGCTTGTTCTAGGGACCCAAATGAGGCCATAACTGCGATTGCCCTCAGAAAAATGGGCCAGGAGTCCTTCATTCTGGCAGCTGTATCTTAGAACCATCTGTGGAGGTTGGAAAAGTGTTGCCTGCCTCAGGAGTTCTGATTTATTTGGTCTGGAATGGGCCCTAGGTGTCAGTGTTTTTTAGAATGCCCTGGGTGATTTTCTTGTGCAAGGAGGGTTTGGAAGCGCTGGTGTGGAACGTTCACAGAGACAAGTCTTTAGGGATTGTGTGTTCACGGACTCGACTTCTAAGACTTCACAGCTCAGGATGCCAATCAGTTTCCCCCTGTAAGGCATATGGAGAACCTGGTTTGAAATTTCCATTTTTGTATCTTATGATGACACAAAAGAGGCTAAAATTAGCAAGGCTCTGTGGTTGCGGTTTAGGCTGTGTCTGTGATGCTGCATGCTGCAAGGAATCGCAGCCCAGGCTGAGCCGGGAAGCAGGGGGCCTCCTGCATGTGTGCAAAGACGCTGAAGAACGTCAAAAACACACAAAAGGTGTTCGTTGCGTTTCAGGATTCTCTATCGGATGATTCTGTCTCCTTCCCTCTTCCCACCTTTCAAATGACTGACATTTGTAGCTGTGTTTTGCAGTGATTCTGGACGTGGGAGCAGCCTCTTAGATAGAACCATTGCTGACAGACGACAGCTTAATACAATTACTTTGCCAGACTTCAGCGATCCTGAGACAGGTGAGAATAAAAAGCCAGAGGGGACGAAATGGTGTCACAAGATTATGGGGCCTGGCCCTGAGTGATGTGGGATGAGACTGGGGGGCTGGGGTTGGAAAAATTCCTCACACAAATAGGTTCAACCCTCAACTGAGGTACATTTTCTCTAGTATCTTTTTCAAGTGTTCACAGTGGTGGCAGTAATGTCATTGCCCAGCACAATGCTTTGAAATCTATTTTTCCCCTTGCTCTTAGAGCTTAAAATGTGAAACTGAAATTAGGTGGTTTCCATCCCCATCAGTTTTCCCTTCTGCTTCCTTGTTTCTCCTCCTCTCTCTGGCTTTCAGACCTTGCTGAAATCAAGGTTTTGATTTCTAAGCAGTTGCACGTATAAACACACGTACACCCAGCAAAAAGACCCTGTAGGGTGGCAGGTGGGTTATGAGTTTCTAATTCCACTGCCCCATGTGGAAGCCTGTAGCACTTACTGCCTCTGAGCAAAAATGTCGTTTGTGTGTTCCCACGTTTGCCTGAGCACAGGGAGTGCACCTCTGTAATCCCCACAACTCCAAACAGTAAGTCCAGCAGTAATGCAGGTCGAGTTTCCCTTATCCAAAATGCTTGGGACCAGAAGTGTTTTGGATTTCAGATTATTTCAGATTTTGAAATATTCGCGTATACGTAATGAGATACCTTGGGCATGGGACTCAAGTCTAAACAAGAAATTCATTTGTTTCGTACACATAGCCTGAAGGTAATTTTATACAACATTTTTGTTGTTGTTGTTTGTTTGGTTTTTTTTGATACAGAGTCTCGCTTTGCTGCCCGGGCTAGAGTGAGTGCCGTGGCGTCAGCCTAGCTCACAGCAACCTCAAACTCCTAGGCTCAAGCGATCCTTCTGCCTCAGCCTCCCAAGTAGCTGGGACTACGGGCACGCGCCACCATGCCCGGCTAATTTTTTATATATATATATACACACATATATATATATATATATATTTTTTTTTTTAGTTGTCCAGCTAATTTCTTTATATTTTTTAGTAGAGACTAAAGGGGTCTCACTCTTGCTCAGGCTGGTCTCGAACTCCTGAGCTCTGATGATCCGCCCGCCTCAGCCTCCCAGAGTGCTAGGATTACAGGCGTGAGCCACTGCGCCCCGCCTATTTTATACAATGTTTTGAATAATTTTGTGCATGCAACAAAGTTTTGGCTGCATTTTGACCATGACCTTTTCCATGAGGTCAGATGTGGAATTTTCCACTGGTGGCGTCATGTCAGGGCTTAAAAACATTTGGATTTTGGAGCATTTCGAATTTTAGATTTTCAAATTAGGGAGGCTTAACCCATACTGACTCACTGTTCAGTGGCAATCTGGGGACTCCACAGACCCACAGAACATAATGAAATTCACTCTGCTTTGAGCCTCAAAGGTAGTTCTAGAGCATCGAGCCTGCTTCTGTTGCTTCTCCCCCGCCTGCAGGGGACCCATGTAAGGCTTAATCTCTCCCTGGGTATGCCTGGTCTTTTATGGGCTGGCTTCATGAAAGGAGCCACAGGGTCTTTTCCTGTCCTTGTGTCACATCCCAGCTCCTGACAGAACTTCCAAAGCAAGCCAGAGAGCAGCCGTGAGTCATGCCGGTGCTCATCCCCTGGAAAACCTATCCCCAGGTGGGATGGGAGGGGTAGGCCCTCTGGGAGCCAGGTGTGTGCTCTGCCCAAGCCCGCCCTCACAGCTGCCTGCAAGACTGTATTTCTGCACTAGGCTCCTTATACTAAATTTAAAGTTAGCTTGAGAAGTCTGATCCAAGGGCTCTGGGGCTCCCAGGTCAAAGGACTGTTGGGCATTGGAAGCGGCACGAATTGTAAGTTAGTGCGGTTTAACCTGGCTTGCAGCCACTGCTCAAAATGCAAACTGACTGAGCCATAGAAAAACTCACCCCCTGAAGTGGCCTGACCCCCCTGGATTGGTCGTCAGTCACTGGTGGGCTTACAGTGCAAACTAGGCAGGGACCCTGGCTGGAATAGCACAGCAGAGTTCTGCCTCTTGGGTCCAGTCCTGCTGGAGGGACCTGTCTAACCCCCGTCATTGTAGGGAAGAGGTCAGGCTGTCAGGATAGCCGCTGCAAGGTGAGACTTGGACACAGGGAGAGAAGAGAAGAAGGTGAAACTCACCAGCAGCAGTTCTGGCTGATTCAGAACAGCTGCTGCAGCTGCCCAGGGCCGTTCTCCCACTTTCCCCCTCCTCAGTGCCCTGAGAGGACAGTCATACTAAATTCAGACCCCCTTTCCTTCCAGCTGGCTTGGACCTTAATTTCCCTGGAGGTCCCAAAACTTTAATGCCACATCACATTGAAAACAGACAGTGACAGAAAATAAATGAGGCCCTTGTTATTGATTCTCCCTTTTGCACGTTGGGACATTTCCCCTAGAGTCCTTAGGAGTCTCCCTCTTCAGGTCAAACCTTCTCAGATGGCACGATGTTTAGGTGAGACATGTCTATGTGGCGCAGTCTGGGGGGTGTCACTGCCCCCAGATCAGGCCTGGCCCCTTCTTTCTCCTCCCCCATCTCCTTAGTGGTATCAGTGCAGCCACTCTCTTGGGAGGGGCACCCACTCACTCGTGGGGAGCCCAGGTGTTTGGAGTCTGGACTGCTGGTTCCTATGCCCTTCCTGAACAATAGAGGGAAACCACAGCCTCCCAGGCACCGGCCAATGACCATTTTGTTGTTGTTGTACTATTCACAGGAATCCTTCCAAGGCTCCTTCCACTGGCCCTGCCCCTAGAGCCACAAAATGTTGGTTTGCACACTATCCATTTAACCAAGAGACCAGGGAATCAGAAACATGGAAGGCCATGTTAGAAGGCCTTGTTTATTGTAGACTATTTCTAAATGAGGGTAAAACATTCTAAAATGACAGTGTAAATCCAAGAGACTTAAAAATTAGGAAGGCTTGCCTAAAACTGGAAAAGATGCCTTCATCTTGATTAATAAAGCCCAATAATTCAAAAGCTAAAGGTAATTCAGAAGTTACCGTTAAGAAGTTTTGTTTCCATACCTGCCCCTCCATCTTCTCTGTCCCTAAAAGTAACCATTTTTATTAGCTTTATTTCACCATTCCAGTGTTTTTTCGTGCAAATAAACATATATATTATTTCCCATGCCCTCTTTTGTAAACAGTCACACATTATGTATGCTGTTGAGCATTTGACATTTTTCACCTCACAGTATATCTGAAGATGCCTGTCTATCCATCCATAGAGAATTTCCTCATTCTTTTTTTTTCTCTTATTTCAGAATATTACGGGGGTAGACACATTTCTTAATCCAAGAAATCCCCATTCTTTTTTACAGCTATGTGGTATTCCATACCCCATGTATTTTTACATTCTGGAGTCTCTTCCATCCAGCATGACCTTAGCCATTTTTCTCCCTTTGCCACAGTTTTCAGTTCATGTGCTGCTGAAGGAGACTGGCTAATTTTGAACATCCACTGCAGCACTGCTTGTCTAGAAGAGCAACTGGGCTACAGAGAAAAAGAGAAAAGGAATTTGTCTGAGGTCAGAATGGTTCCAAAATAAACAGAAGTGCCATGAGATCAGACATGGCCTGGGAGAGCCCAGCCCCGGCAGGTGGCAGCTTATCGATAGCCCTGGTCCGTCCCATGCCCGGTGCTCAAATACTTTTCCAAATCCCCGTTAAAGGGCACAGACATCCAACACGAGCAGAGCACACAGTGCTGGCATCGGGAGGGCACACAGCCAGAGTAACGCTGAGCTTCCACCATCACAGTCGTGCCAGCTCTGGGGCACAGGGCCCAGAATCCCCCACTGTGCAGACAGATTCCTTTGTGAGGCCACAAGTCCTCTCGGATAGGTTTGGTTTTGTTTTTTCCTCAGGACTAAATTTGTTTTCTTTTTCTTTTTAAAAATTTCTATTATGGAAAATTTTCAAGTATACCAGAATAGAGATACAAATATTCCCATTACCTACCACCAAGCTTCAACAATTAATATCTTGTTTCATCTCTCTCTCCTGTCCTACACTTGGCGTTCGTAGAGTATTTTAAGGCAAATCCGTAACGTCATATTTTGCCTATTAAAATTTTAGGATATATGTCTGACAGATAATAGCTTTGAAAATATATAGCTATAAATACCATTATTATACATCCTGGGTCATTATACAGTACATTATACAGGCTTGATGTTCTTGATTTTGGAAGTGGTTGATTAACCAAAATGTGGTTTCCCACAATTTCAGAAATGTGGTTTCTGAAATTGTCCATGTGCAGATCTGTGGAATAACATTAGGAGGAACCCACGTCTGTAAGCTTTGTACTGACCAAATCCACTGCAGCTAACAGAGTGAAATTTTGTTTCATTAAGTGGATGTGTCAAACTAAAAAAGCCCCTCTTACAGAACATGATTTCCCCTCTGATACCACCTCTAGCTTTCCTTGCCCCACCTGGTCATATAAAAGGTCCCAGCGAGTGAGAAAGAGGAATCAGTTGGAGTGGCAGTCTTTACTTTGAAGCTATGAGTCGTTGTCTTTTCTTTGGAATAAGTTGGTAGTTCCTTAAATAGAGGATGAAAAAAAAGTTTTTTCTGCCTTTTGCCTTCAAAGCAGGATGTGGGATAAGGGGATTTATCTTTAATAATTGGTGCGATGTTACCAGATACTTATCCAAAGCAAAATCATTCTTTTAACTCGAAAGTTTGATCCATTTTGTTTGGGCAGATTTCTAATTGCAGCTGTGACCTCCCCATTGCTGCGAGTTGCTCCAGCTGTAAGACATGAAGGCAGCAGTACTAGCTTCCTTTTCAAAGTGCCCATCCAGGGCACCCAACCATACACCACCTCAGAAAGTGGTCTCCATGGTCACAGTGCTGGGACTGTGACGTGACGTATCAGTGCACCTCAGTACACCGCACCTTGGAAAACCTTAGTTTTCAAGTAAGCTGTATATAGTGCTCCTCATAAAAAACAAATCGATGAAAAGTCAAGTCCTAACCCATTCCA